TCACAATCATCATCACCACCATTATCAACYGCATTATCATCATCYATATTGCCWCCCTCTTCAGRACCATCACCTTCARCAACCATAATGTCATCTATAACAGCACACAGTTCTAGGATTGATCCAYTGCACCACGCTGCGTATTTGTACAAGCAAGATGGCATGACATTACTCCAAAACGAAATCAAAACAATACAAAATAGAACAGAACTGGAATGCGCAATGTGGTGTATCAGAAATGAAAACTGCAAATCCTTTAATTTTTGTCATGTCTCCAAATCTCTTGGGCACTGTCAACTTAATTCACTTACACAAGAAGCTTCTGTTAGGAATTTTCAAAAGAAAAGTGACTGTTCTTATGTTGAGCCCATGTAGATCAGCGGTGACTATAAGAGAATATGGCGATTGATTAACAGTTTGCTGCAGGCCAATTAGGGCTTTATCTGGAATAGTACTTAAGCCATGATGGGATTTCTGAATGGCTAAAACAACACATAATTGATTGTGTTACTTTGAATTCGGTAATTTTAATCAACCTAAACACAATGGAATACTTGTACATCAGTGAGGTCCCACGAGGAATCTCTCACTCCTTAGACCAGCATGTGGTGGTTCAAGGAAATACTGGAAAGAATAAAGAAAAAGTTTTRTTTCTCCTTCCCATAAAGCTGAGAACAAGAAYACTGAARGCACAGGAAGAAAGTAAAGTTGTTTTAAACCTTCATACATCTTTTGTCATCACATTCAAGTGTCAATTTATAGTTCATGAGCATTCAACCAAAACTGTCCTTTTGCATGTCATTTGCAGCATTGAATATCATTTGTATTTATGTACAGTAGAATACAAACTAAAATTATGCAACATAAAAACCACAAATACTGCTAAATTATGTAGATTTCTGTGGTCCAATTAAGACTGTTTAGTAGAGCAAGGTCAATGAAGCTGTGAACAAAATTTGYCTATTAAAGTGTGATAGTCAAATACAAGAAAATAATTGAGAGTAAATGAGGTGTATTGGTGTAATATCTATCTGGTTTTTTTTAACTTAATCATAGTTAATAACTAACTATGACTTAATGTAGTACCGGAAAGTAGTGCAAAACTTTGCTCACTCAAGTGATCAAACAGAAATGGCAAGGATATATTTAAGATTTATTACAAACACTCTAAATCATATTCCAATTAATTACTTAGAAGTCATTTTATATTATTACATACTTCACACATCTTATAATAATATTGTGTTGCCATTAAAATAAACAAGTTCACCAAAATTTACATATTTAAATAAGTAAACATGGTGCATTGTGGTCTAACATTGGTACAAATAATACCATATTTGGTTTGATGAGCACAAGGCATTTGTACCCAAACTACACCAGAATGCACTGCGATATATTATTTCAGAAAAGGRTTACATCATTATTCAGTTATATTTACTGAGATTCTTGGGACATTTTGGGTTCATTATCCATTATATTTTTAGTATTTTTGGTTGCTTGATCTTTTGCATCATTCTCTCTTTTAATCAAGGCAACAATTTCYGCAACTTGTTCTGATGTCAAGTCAACATCCTCTATGCACAGCAATTCAAGGACCTAGGGATTGAACCAAAGTATTTTTATTAAACTGGCGAACATAGAAACTTTTAATAAAAGTTTTTTTTGTTAGTTAAAACTAACAGTACCTCATCTTTATCAATAAACTTATTCTAATGTAAATGGTTGATAAACAAAGACCACTTTACCTAAGTTTGGCTTTTACTTCAAAGATATAAGTGTAATCAAGTCTTTTAACCTACCGTTTCAACATCATCAAGGTCTAGGTTTCCATCCTTGTCCTGGTCAAGCATGTCTGCCAGTTTTCTGCATTTCTCTTCACTTGGTGCATGTTGTAATTTACGGATTGCAGTTATCAGTTCGTCTGTTGTGATTTTACCGTCACTGGGAAAACATTGAAAGTATTCATTAATGCTCAATATTAAMGGATAACTGTGCTATTCATAAAATACTACATTAAAACGTTCTACACTCTCAGCTGTGGAGGTCATTTTACAAGTTGTCAATTAAAAACTTCAACAGTAACATTTAACTGTCTGTCATTAAGAGCAACTGGATTAATGCATTAAAAATAATTATCATTGGAACTTAATTAACCATTAATCACTATCACTTTGATACTAAGCATAGGTTTTAAAGTTCTGTCCAACAGCAGGCTATACGTTAATGAAACAAAGTCCCCTTCATGGTTACCTATGCCATCTTGAAAGGTATCCATGTCTATGTATCGAAGTGTGACGACTGTTGAGTGTGCAATGATAGATATCTGTGAATAATTGTCTGTAAGTGTGAAAGAAGGTTTTTGCTTTGATACAAAGGAATCTTTCAAGATGGTGCAGGGAACCATGAAAGAGACTGTTCAAGGTATTGCCACTGAGCTTTATATTAGACAGGGTTCGTACAGATTTGTTCATTACAAAATTCAAGGACTTTTCAAGAACTTTTTAAGGATTAATTTTCAATATTCAAGGACTCCAATTACAAAGAGAAAAATACAGTTAGTAAACTTACTAACACTGCAGTCAAACTTTTTCTTTTGGAGAAGATTTCCCTCAATCTCTATTAATTTCTTGGCCGCCATATTGTACAATAGTACAGCAAGTCTCGCAAAAAGGATTGAATACTGTCTTGTCATTTTGCTTTAAAGCTTAGCTAAATTGATCCCCAAAACATTACTTTAGAGCGACCAAGACTGATTCAAGGACTAAATTATCATTTTCAYGGACCTTTCCTCCAAATTCAAGGACTTTTCAAGGAAAATTTGCAGTCAAGGACTTTTCAAGGACCTAGCTCAGAAATCAAGGACTTTTCAAGACTGTACGAACCCTGTGTATATTATTGATCCCATACATACATGTAGGAAACATTGAATTAAGAAAACATCACAGCTTCATTACAATGTCATTATCCTGTTTTCTTACCCATCAGCATCAATCCTTAAAGCATCTGGTCTTTCAATCAATTCCTCTTCAAGCTGTTTGAGTCTTGCTTCAATCTGTGTAATCATGTTATCGAGCTTTTTACCAAGGCGTGATGATCCCAATGACTCAGACAAAGCATTATCTTCATCTTCTAATTCCAACTCTTTCAATTCCTAAATTCAAAATGCAATATTATAATTATCATATATTATGGAACTTCCATCTTCAAAATAACAAAATGAATTATTTGTTCTTATAACAAGAGAAAAAAAAACAAGAAAACACAGGTAATTGCACGATCAACATAATTATAAAAAGTGTGCATAAATATTTGAATTACCTCTCTAAATTCTTCTCGGTCTTCTTTAATCTTGGTCAAGACATCACGTTCGTTTGATATGCCWCCCTTTAGTGTAATCCAATCTGCCTTTGAGATGCCTTCATCCTCGAGAATGACTTCTGCACGATCCTGTAGAATAGAGTGGCATTTATTATTATTTTTTTCAATATCATACTCATCATTTTAAAACTTTTTCCATGCTTACCACAAGGATTTCAGCAGCTTCAGCTTCAGCCTGTAAAATCAAATGTCATTCATGAYTASAACATACTTAAAGTAATATTTTATTCCAGGTATTCATATGAGGCCTTTAAAATAGAAAAAAAAAACTGAAATGAGATAAACCTACCCTTTTTCGTTTTTCCATTTCTTCCATCTCTTTCTGTTTTACTGCTTCTTTCTCAGCAGCTATGGACTCTTCTTCCTTCTTCAAGATTTCTAGACGTCGTTTGTTGTCTACTTCTTCACCAGACACTTCAGCAACTTTGATCTCTGTTTCAACAACCTTGAAAATGGAAAATATTGTTTTACAACTTTCCCTCAGGTAATTTTCAATATCGGTCTCCTRAATTCTATTCTATAATAAAATAATTATAGTTTATACCAGTGTTTCAGGAAGCTGAGAAAGAGTCTCCTTTAGTTTATCAACTGAGCTGACATTCTCCGGTAGGTAGAGTGCTCTTGACATAAGAAGCAGTGAGATGGGAACTTGCTCTTGAAGATGTAACTCCAACCACTACACAAAGTAACATACACATTTTAAAATAAAYTCCTAATCAGTCATGATAATATGCTTTTTACCACTGCCTTCTGTTTTGACCTTTATTTTACCTGTTTTAGCTGTGATCGTAGTCTTGCTTCAGGTACACCAATGGCCCTCATTCCCCTTGCCTGACATGCCGATTGCAACTCTTGTCCTGATAAGGCATCGACACCTTCTTTTTGGATCATCTGTTAAAAGTTGGATTAGAAACTATATAACTAGGACATCAACACATTACAAACAAATTACATGAAATGTTAGCAGCAAAGAAAAACAARCTATCAAATTGATGATGACTCACTTGACCATTTTGAACATACAATCTCAATGATTGAGTGACAGTGAATGCTATCAAAAGAACAATAGATTTTAGAAAATAAATTCTGAAATAAAACGAAATAAAAATGAAAATTATGAAGTTTAGATCATGTCACTTAATCAAATGATCAATCAAAATGGTCACCTGAGTTACATACTGCAGTACTTTGTGCACACATAAAACCTTAGAAGTATCAAAACTAGACCTACAAGATCGTCCATTTTCAGCTGACGTAGCCTCATTCTTAGCTGGAAGCTGAGGTAGTTATCAGTACCAATAGTCTGCAAAGACAACAGTCTGTTGATGGCTTTCAGCTGACCTCTGCTCATGTTATCAAGTGTTATCTCATCCTCAAAGAGTTTAGAAAACCTAATYATGTCTTCATTGCTTGGCTGCTCCCCCCTTGTACGGATCTYGAAAATATCAGAAATRAAAATGATATGCCTGGATGCAGGGGGGGTTAGGAGGTGAAGTTTATCAATAGACCTCTTCCTGAGTACAGTCTTGTGATTTTATATTAATACCTTTTCAAAGAAWGTAGCAAATTCAACCACAGATTTTTGTGTTTTTGATTGCTTTGCAGTAACTGCCATTTCTTCTACTGTATCTTGCAAGAATTTGGCCATTTCAATTTTGACTTTCAGCTTCTTTCGTGTGGCTTCCTCCTGCATTAACAGAAAAAAACATTGTTGAATGTAAAACAGCATGAAGAATGTTATAAATCCATGAAATAGATATTATACTAATACATCTCAGTAGTCACAACTCCATTGATTTCTTTTTTATCTATTGGGTTGTTGCAATTTGAGTATTATATTTTTATTTCATGTATTTAATAGTTTAACTCTAATTTTCACCTTCTTTGATTTATCTTCAAATGTGCTGGGAAGCATGTTGGGAAAGACTTTGACAACCACAGGGAGTAAGAACTCCATGAATGGAATGACCAGGAATACCAGGAATGGTACCAATCTGAACAGATCTGCRGCTGTACGCAAAAACTATGAAATTGACAATGATYAATTGTGAATATCATGATCGACATTTTACATTGCATTGTTGTTTTGACATTATTTGTCAATAATGTTGTATAATCAGTATTGCAATATCATATCAAGCCTGCCATTACCAATCAATCTTGATMATTTTCGCTTCTCAATACCATTATCACATTGTCCGTGACTTATCATATCAGTAGGTACAGTATAAGTGCTTGAAAACATACCTGTCTCCTTTCRCTTCTTGTCAATGACTTTCCATTCATAATCTGCCATAAATGTCTCATGGCAATTCTAACTTCAAAATACAACAGTTTAAATCCATTATAGTAGTGAACAACCTCAAGTTTAAATCTTTCCCATAGCGTCTTCTTGGCTACAACTTCTGGGACCTTTGGCTCTAAATCTTCAGGACTACAACCAAACTCAAGAGCCTTGTCCTTYACTTTCTGCTTCTTTTCTTTTATAGCTTCCACAGCTTCRTCAACCCTGGATTTTTCTTCWGCACGGAGAACTTCTTTAGACTTGGCGACTTTAGCTGGTTCATCGTTGCTTGATGAACCTTTGAAAGTCCTTATTACATTGTATAAAGGGCTTTGTTTTAAACTTAGATGATGTGGAGAGAAGGTCCGATAAGATCTGCTAGTTACAATATTATGTAACTGCTGGGTAGTGGCATAACTTAGGCTGTAATTGGRGTGAATATGACGTGGGCGTGTATCATTCAAAGTACAATAGGTATTGTAATTTTTTCTTCTATCTAAATGAAACTGTGATAATCTGCTAAGTTGATGTAGTTCACTTTTAGTCAGACCTCCACTAAATAACCAATCTCCATTTTGATATTTTGAAGTGCTATTTWTATTCCTGTTGATGRGATCACAGTGTTTCTTGTTAGGTAATGCCTTTCTTTCGATTACAGTAGAACCCAAGGTCCTYAGAAAGAAAGCAAGGAATGAAAAAATGGAAGAACAAAGAGGGAAGAAAAAGCTTACAGAGTAAAGGAATACAGCAATGTCAACAAATGTTTACACTAAGAGAAGAGAGAAAGGAATGTGAAATAAATAGATGGGAAAAGGAAAAGAGTAGTGAAATAAAGGAAATGGAAAGAAATTCCAATTGCAAACACAAAATGTCATAACTGACATGACAGAAATGTAATAAATTATGGAATAMAGTAACAAGACTTTTGAAAATTAAATAAATGATCGCGCAAATTAAGTTAATTGAAGCAAAAACGTCTATACAATTATTTGGCAGAGTTTATTAACACAGACCAAATGAAAATAGYAGAAATTCAAGTGAGTAAATGTTTCAAGCCGGGAATGGCATATATTAAAGTGATCGCACATGCCGTGACTTCAGAGCTAATTATTATATTATTATGCAAGGTTTTTTTTCTGTTCATGCGGTAAATAATRACTATACACAGTTTTAAATGTAATATTATACCAATCACAAACCAATCACAAACCTTGACCATAAAATATGAGGGAATCTCTGTGAATCTAAAAAGAAAACATTGGATTACAATTGAAAAAATCCAACTAGAAAATCAATCATGATCTAGTGATTTTACTCACAACTAGCTGTGTAGCACGTCAACACACTTTGACCGTTTCGAGCAAAATTTGCTCGGCTTGGGATTATTATTCTGCAAAAAGCCATAGATCACAACATTGCATCTAAGGAGGGAGGTACAGGATAAAACAAAGGTTTCTAAGACTTTAAATTCATTCATGAAGTAAAGCACATATCGTGCAATATTGAAGCCATGTTGCTTTTTGGGAGGAGCGCCCGCTAAATGAGCTTACCAGCGGTGTGAATCCTACACAGGAACACCACAAAATTAACAGTTCTGAAAAAAAGCGCGAACACTACAACATTCTCCAAATGTAGAATTAAATAGAAAGGCCTACGAATCTTTATGGGTTTTTTGATTCAAAACGTTCAAAACAAACAAGAAGTATTTTGTTAAAGCAAAAACGTTATTTAACGCTATTTTGATATGAAAACAAACATGATTTTGTTTTCTTCTTGTCGCATTTTAACTCTTTAATGTCAATTGACGTCAATTTTTGATTATTAAATCTATTGCAATATTATTTTMGACTGTTTTTTCGTCTAGCAAAACGTTGCCCTTATATGGAAAAATGGAAGGGACATCTTGTCAGCACTGACGTAATTTATGCAAATTGCATGTCTATGAAAAATGAATTATTGAAAATAGCCCGAAATATGACGTTAAGTGCTTTATATAAACACTATACATCATAGAATATTTATATCAGAAAGTGTTTTTCCTTCGATTGTTTGTATTTTTTGTTTGAACCATTCTTTTGGATAAATTCTTCCATATAAGGTCACGCTGTATCGCATTGGCACTTGGGTATTAGTAGTACTGGGAGGTGTACTGCTCTAAAGCTCAGCAGTAAACTTTAGTTGTATTCCTTACTTCAACCGCGGAAAAAATGTCTTTAGAGCTAAGTAAGTAGTATGAATTTATCCTCTTTAATTCAASAAAAGTTTTCACATGGACTCGTTTGGCTATTTCTCAAATGTTTGCAACAGATTTTGAGAAACTTACCTGATTTGGGAAGCTGTTGCGTGACATTTTACCAAAGTGAAATTATACCGAATATCCAAAAATCGTTTTATATTTTACAGAGACTGTATATCCGTCCTTGCCAAGGGTAAAGCGAGGTGCTGTCACCGTTTTAAAGGCTGATCCAAAAGGGAAAAACTTCCTCTACGCAAATAATAAAAGTGTTTTCATTCGAAATGTTGAGGTGAGCTTGTGCACTGATGCAAAAATATTCAGTACGCGGAAATGTTTGAAACATTGAATTGTATCACGTATGTGGTACCAAATATGTATCGACAATTCTAATAAATTGTTTCATCAAGTTGTTAAATATTGTTTGAAAATACAATTAATGAAAAATTTACAAGCTTCCCATAAATATGAATATTCATATGTATCGTAAGCTTGTGTTGAATTGATATCGATAAATTTAATATTAAAAATTGATTAATTCATGCATTAAAAACGTGRTCCCTAAAGGCCCAGTACTACTGGTGAAGGACATCTCACATAAGTGGAGATGCAAGAAGGGGAGGAAACAGAACGAAAGGTTTTCATTTGTTATTCTTCATCATTCCTTTCAACACTTGTTCTGTTGTTCTCTTATTTTCATACYTGAGCAGGTAGTTTGTGTTTCCTTTGTTTACCTTACTAGTTATTGAAATGGAGAAGTTAAAAAAGGTCCTGTTCTAATTMTTTTTGTTTACACTAAAATGTATCTACTTTTTTATTTGAATCCACTAATATGGACATGATACTGTTTTCCAAAGGATCCAACTGATTGTGACGTTTACTCGCAACATGCTAAAGACGTGCATGTAGCAGCCTATTCGCCATCTGGATTTTACATTGCATCTGGAGGTATTGTATAAAACCTTGTATTAAACAGACTGTAAATGTACAAGAGAACTGAATTATATCAACAAGAAGAATCATGAATAATGATACTTTTAATGAATTTTAGATGCATCAGGCAAGCTGCGTATCTGGGATACAACTAACAAGGAACATATACTCAAGTATGAATACCAGCCGTTATCTGCTTTAATAAAGGACATTGTCTGGTCGCCAGATAGTAAGAGAATGGTTGTTGTTGGGGAAGGAAGAGAAAAGTAAGTAAGTTTAGCTAATTAAATTGTTTGGGAAACAGAATGATGGACAAACAAATAAGCAGGGGGACAGACATGCTATAAAGGCATCTGGTGAAAGAATGAATAAGTCCATTAATCCAAGATGCAATAGTCTTCTTCTTGGTTCCCTGCACCATRTTGAAAGATAGCCATGCCTTGTCATCAAAGCGAAACAACCATTGAGTGTGCAATGATAGATACTTGTGAATAATTGTCTGTAGGTATGAAAAAAGGTTTCTATCATTACACACTCAACAGTCATCTSGCTTCAATGTAAAGGCACGGCTACCTTTCAAGATGGCCAGGGAACCTTGAAGAAGACTATTATAACATTTCCAATTTCATTATAGATTTGGTAATGCGTTCCTGTGGGATAGTGGTTCCACTGTTGGTAAAATTGATAACCATGCAAAAGCAATCAATGCAGTTGACTACAAGACAACCAGACCCTTCCGTGTTTGCACTGGAAGTGAAGACATGACCTGTAATTTTTACGAAGGACCACCATTCAAGTATAAGAAAGCTGAGAGGGTATGAATAACATAACTTTTCATATTTGTCTTGAACAGCAAAAAGCTAAAAAATGTTATATCGGATATAAATTCTGTTAATGATGTTTTCTTAACTTAAAACAATAGGACCATTCAAACTTTGTCAACTGTGTGAAGTACTCACCCAATGGAGAAGTCTTCATCACTGGTGGAGCTGATGGAAAAGTATTATTTTATTTTATTTTCTTATATCACAATTTTAACTGATTTACATGTATAGAGCAGAGTCACTTGAACCATGAAATAGAAACTAAATACTTAGTACCTAARAGGCACTATTTAGACACTATCACTGAACCAGAACAGTACAAAGAGATTACTTTGATTGTTAAAGTGGTCCCTTGGGTATTGCTTATTGGATAAAAAAAACTGTTCTGGTTCAGTGCTAACGACTATTAGGAACTAATAGTCCCTATTAGTTAGTACTTTTTAGTTCWTATTTCATGGTTCATGTGACTCTGCTCTATCACAAGTTTTTGTATATATTTAAATTCATATATGAATTATACACACCGATTTCATAAAATAATGACACTCTTTAGATATATTACATATATAATACTGTATGTTGCAGTGGGTTTTCATTGGAAATCACCTTTCTAAAGGGTGTTAAGTGATTGGAAACACATGAAAAACCTTCATTAAATATGCATAAACATTATTTCAGAAATTTGGGCCCCAATTTTACAATAAATATCAACAAATTATATATCTGTATATATATATCTAAAAAGTGTCATCATTTTATGAAATTGGTGTACATATTTAAAATATATATGAATTTWAAAAAAAAATCCTGTCCAGTGAGTAACACTCAAACTTAAAATAATATGACTAAAAATAATCTTTCATGTGGTGAGGTTCAGTTTTCCATAAGTGGACTATCCTAATACTTGTTCTAAGTTTCCTTTTCAATCTCAGAAAGACCAATGCACTTAAGAATTTCTTGTTTTCAGCTGTTTCTTTATGATGGCAAAGACGGGGAATTACAGGATGAAGTTGGAAAAACCTGTGAGGGTGGTAAGGCTCATAAAGCAGGCATCTATGCGGTAAGAGGATAATTTTAGGGCCATCGGTTCACATTGTGACATAAGCAGAAGCATAGGCAGAAGCAGAAGAAGTGTATTTTGTATGTGAACTGAGGAAAAACAGAAGCAGATAAAAATGAAAACTTTTTCATTTTCGTCTGCTTCTGTTTCTGCTTATGTTTATTAGTTTAMTAGATTATTAGTGTGAACCAGGACATCATAATCAGAAGAACATGCTTCTTTCAAGTGTGAACAATCTTCTGCTTCTGTTTCTGCTTATGTCACAGTGTAAAACAGCCCTTAAAACCACATTTTTCTTGTACAGAGTTTTTGTAATGAGGTGTAAATAGATAAATAACAAATTGCACTTTTGTTTGGTAGATATCGTGGTGCCAGGATAGCAAATCTTTTCTCACAGCTTCTGCAGATAAAACATGTAAAATCTGGAATGTTGATGACAAAACAGTGACAACGTGAGTGATATAGTGTCAGAAGTTTGGAAGATTGATTCCTTTTTTTCCAATCAAAAAACTGTTTTCTATTAACAGAACATTTACATTTGGTTCTGAACTTGAAGACATGCAGCTTGGATGCTTGTGGATGGGTGAATATCTGTTATCTCTATCCTTGTCTGGAGCTATCAACTACTTGGATAAGGAAAATCCAAGCACTCCATCAAGGGTTTTAATGGTATGTAGATATTGTATTTATATATATATATATTGAATATTAATAGCACCAATGTTATGGGTTGTATTAATTTTTATTTTAGGGTCATTACAAGAATATTACTGCCATTGCATACAGCAGTCAGAACAACAAATTGTACTCTGCAGATTTTGAAGGCCGCATTGGTATCCTTGACTTTAACTAAACTGGAAATACCTATTCTAACTTTTTCACTCGAATTGTGTAACATGTACCGAGCTACATTCTTATAGGTCTGCTAATTTGTATACAACAAGTAGTGATGGAAAAAAATAGCTAATTAATTACACAGTAATTATGAATATCTTCTTTAGTGCAACTATTTACTTTTTCTGTCTTTGGGATCCTTGTGGAAAAATGCAAGGAATGGTACAGTTTTCTCACAACACAGYAAACCCAAAGTAAAGAAAAAGAGAAAAAATTATAAGGTTGCCTGTGGAAAGATATACACCCTTTTAATAAGTCCCGAGGTATTGTGTTCTCCGCACTTGACGTCAAATTTATTCTTTTGAAATTTTTACAATACAAAAGGAATTCAAAAGAATAAATTTGACGTCAAGTGCGGAGAACACAATACCTTGGGACTTATTAAAAGGGTGTATAAGATAGATAATGAGTAGCCTTTGTATGGATGTAGCACATTTCCTTAACCTGTACTTAGTTGCATGGAATGTCTCTAACGGTAGTAGTCAAAGGCTCAAAGGCAAAGGCCACACAACTGACATACGATACCTTGCAGTTTCTGACGATATGCTTGTCAGTTGTGCCATTGATGACACAGTTAGATTCACCAATCTTGACACTGAGGAGTATGGGTATGAATTTTGGGCTGCCTGTGTTTAAAGCTTATTTTTGTTTCATCTAATGTAATTTTGCTCAATTAACTGAGAGTATGAATTGTTTATGACATCAATGCGATCAATTTATTAGATACATGTAGAATGCAGCAAAGGCATGCCATCTGAACCAGGCCTAACTGTTAACCCTTGGCTCCAACGGCACCCAAAACAGCCTGACCCAGGAGCCAAAGGGTTYTATCTTATTTGCATGGCATTGCAAGGGGAAAATAGTCTTTTCCAAAGGGCACAGTTCTTTTTCATCTTACTCCTACTGAAAGGAAATTTGATGGTGTGGRGTCATTGTTAACCTTGTTGTTTTAGGAGCGATGTAGTTGCTCTTGGAGGTCAAGTCAAAGGCTTTTCTTGTGGAAAGGATGGACTGGTTGTTGTTTCCTTGGAACGTGAGGTATCTATAATATCAATGATTTTTATTGTTTGTTCCTATGTATGGTAAACACGATTCTGTGGTCTTATTAGAGAGCATCACCTTTACTGCTAACGGCTAATGGCAGAGCTGAACCAATGACCTAAGAATTTCGTGCCTGACCTTGTGCTTTTGGTAGTCATTTGAAAGAGCGACTTTTCACGATTATGCAGCCACAAAATAACCCTCTCTCAAGTTGAAACTGCAACATTAAACCCCAAAAAAGGAGGTCATGTGATCATTTCTGCTGTTTACRATTCGCCGTGAATGTCATGCTTAACCTCTCTATATATTTATTAAAAGAAAAATAACTCACAGAGGACTTGAAACAAAAAACACAAATCATATCTTTGTTTGACAATGATCTTGTAATTTAGGTACTTGTCATTAGAGACAAGAAGGTGGTGTCAAGACTTAAAGTTAGCTATGAAACTTCAAGTGTCTCCGTCCATCCAGGACAGTCTGAAGTTGCTATAGGGTCAGCCACAGAAGACCGTGTCTATCTCTATGATCTTAGTAATGACACYCTAGAGGAGAAAGAACAAGTTGATGTTGCAAACGGCCATGTTCTGCATGTATGTTATTCACCGGATGGGGCATACTTGGGTGTCAGCTCAGATAAAAACAGGAGTTATGCATTCAGCACAAGTAATTACAAGGTATGATTGATTATAATTATTGACAATTTTGCAATTTTGGTGAATATTCATATGATAGTACACAAGATATGCTGGAGAACAAATCACAAAACTTTATCCACTATATCATGGACTCATCATTGAATCGATTCACAGGATAAAGTTGTAGAATGGTATGGTCATAATGGTAAAATCAGACAACTTAAATGGTCACCTGACTCTCGTCACATGGCAACTTGTGGATTAGACACCAAAGTAATTGTTTACAAAGCTGCTGATCCTGGAAAACAGGCTATTGCATCTATAAGGGGTTAGTATATTTAATACAAAACTAATCAACAGTTGTATTCATAACTAGTGTTTCTACTCCTTTCCACCATAAGATTTCAAACTTAAACGAACTGCTTTCAACTCCTCTCCAAAGTCAAACAAATTCTGAATTATGACAGTTTGGATTATTATTAATTTCTTGGAAATATTATTAGTATTAGGTGAAGACCAGAGCTTTGATTGACTGGAGCTTAATAGCCTTGAAAATGATGGCTGTCGTGCCAACACYGGAGTTTGCACACTCACAAGAATTGCCATTATTTTGAATTTTCAATTGATGATTTTTCTTTGACATGTAGGGGCACATAATGCAAGTGCTCTTAATGCCTTGGAGTGGACTGACAACAACACTCTGGTGACCGGGGCTGAAGACTGCTGTTTGAGGTTGTGGACCCTGAAAGAGTAAAGACCCCCAAAAGACCCCCCAAAAGACCCCCCAAAAAAGAAACTGCTTAATTTTGTCTTTTGATAGTAACAAGTTAAACAGAAACATTAAAAATGATAAGTGTTCAAATGAGTGGCAAGCTGACATCCAGTGAAGGGCAATGCATGGAACTTTTATGAACCTTTTTGATAGACATTACAATTGATGTACATTTGATGATCAGTTTTCCACTCATTAGATCTACAAATGTAAATGATTCCGAGCTCAATATGTTTATATTTTGTCCTCCTTTATGTCCAATAACTTCAGATGTTTACATCAGAAATGAAGGCAAAATTTGAAACTCACTTGCACTTGACTGAATATAATGTACCTAAAATTGTCATAAAGAATTGAAGCCACTATTCAATTGAAGGTGTAACATATAYCAACATTGTCTTATCTCAAAAAAATTGGATGATTTATAATAATAGTAAAGGGGTATATTTTCAGTCAGTCTTACTAGCATGATACACACTATTTTGTGACTTAAAATTTGCAATAAAAGCTAATGATATCTTACTTAAAGTGTTTTTTTTGCAATGGTGCATGATGGGAATCTTTGGGATAACTTCGTGTCTTCCGGGTGTAAAGTTTTTGGGATACCTGTGGTTGTTTGGCTAGAGGAAACTGGAGCCAAGTTTACAAAATGGCGGCCGAAGAGACATACTTTCCTGAAGAATGGCTCGACGATGATAGAATGAATTTTATGTTCTCTGCTTTTCCAGAACACAGGCATGTTAATCCAAAACACTGGGATAGTAAGCTACAATTCTGGCGTAAAATAATCCTTGAAAGTTGTAATTATCATAATGAACTCAGTGTGGACTTTAACATCCTCCGACGAAGATTTTCTCGAAATGGGCTTTTCCCCTTGGGTTTAGCGACTGTCTTAGCAGAAATGCTGCGAACTGGAGACTTTGAAGTAATAGATAATTTAAATGATACTGCAAATAGTGGCTGGGTTTCGTGGGGATTTGATATCGCAAAGAGAACCGTTTCGTGGACAGTTGAGAATTTTATTTTGGGAAGTGACATAAAAAATTCAATTGAACAAGGGATTGTGATGGTTGCAGTTGAYAGGTTAAAGGTATGCAAATTTTATGATCATTATAATGCTCCTTTTGCAGTTTAAAATCTTGAAATGGTAGTTGAGCCTAGACATATAAGGAAGACAACAGCTGAGCTTAAATAGATACCTTGTGCTAGTTGGAAAAGGTATAATAGCTTTAGTGGAAGGTTTGATGTGAATAAATGACCGATGTTTATCAACGTTAATAAACATAGACGAAGCTCAAAAGCAGGGGACATTGCTAGATATTGCTGAGTTGTTTTATCAAGGATACTTGTTTAATTTGCAGGAGAAAGCTCAGTTAGTGTTGGATATTCATGCTAAAAGTGTAGAWCATGAGGCGACAGATTATATTATACCATGGAATGTGTTAAAATCAAGATGTCAAAGAAATGGACTTACACTGTCTGACAAAGATTTAGGCTTAGTTATGTGTCATTTGCAAAGAAATAGGACAGTTATTGTGGATACTACTCCAGAAGAGGAAAAGGTAATCGAAATTGTTCATTTATTCATTCCTCCATTCTTCTTCTTTTATTTATTCTACCATCCATTTACTTTCTCATTTATTCATTTGTTTATAGATATATATCAGGGCATTTATACCAATTCTTTTAATCTTAAATCCACTCATTTTTTTTRATTTCTTTGTTTGTTCCTTTATTTTTTATTCACTTWCCCATCTATTAATTTGTTCATTAACCCATTAACTTGTTGACTTCATTCTTTCGTCCATTCAATATATTTTTGTGAATTTATCCCTTTGTTTGTTCATTCATCCACCCATTTATTTTTTCATTTCATTTCCATTCACCCATTCTTTCATTTCATTCATTTGTGTATCGTTGTTCTAACTTTGTCTCAAGGGAGACCYAATTTATTCTTCCATTTGTCCATACTCGATACTAACAACATTTATTGAACAATAAATTCTATTCCTCCATTTATTCTTTGATCAATCTTTGTATTTGCATCTTTTTTAGGTTGTTAAATTTCTAAATAAAAATGAAACCAAAGTTTCTATAGTAAATGAAAAAGATCTTGGAATTTTAAGGTCAGTTGTTGTTTTGTTATAAAAGGATTATATTTCTCCATGTTCCATATTTTTCTATTTTTGTTCAGGTTAAAGAAAACAATAGCATCACTAACATTGCAGGGAGATAAGCTCTCAAAGAGTGCAGACAGGTATAACATAAATACATGCAATATTGTCATGCATCTTTGTACCCTTTTCGTCCCCATACTCTCTATTCACAGGAGCCTTAGTGTGTTTTTTTTATGAAATGTTGTGCTTGGATAAAAAGCCAAAATTTTGTGAAATTATGAAAATGATAAAATAAAAGAACTGTTTTTTGTTGTTGGTGTTGCATTTTCTTGTTGAGTTGTGATATTGTTATATTATTGATCTGTTGCTGTTCTTGTTGTTGCGTTATTGTTCTCATTGCTGTTGTTGTTCTTGATGTTTGTCCTGTTGTTGCTGTTGTTGTTCTTGTTGTTGTTGTTGCTGTTGTTGTTATTGTAATATTGTTATTTAGACTTGTCACTGTTGTTATATTGTTATTTGTTGTTTCTATTGTTGTTAAGTTGTATTATTTTTGTTTAAAACTTCAGTTGTGTTCAAAAGGCTAAAGAATTCTCTAGCAAAGGACTCAAGAAACCAGTAAGAACATGCTTGTTTACCACTATTGTTGATCTACATTGTCTCAATGCTAGATTGCTTTTATTCATACAGGCTTTAGCTCAACTGAGAAAGAAGACAGTTCTCCAGAAAAACATTGACAGAACTTATGATAGCTTACACACATTAGAAGATCTGCTACATAGAATACAGCAAGCTGACACAGACAAAATGGTAAGATAAAATGATCTTTTCATAATTCAGTAATCCAATAAACATGAATATTGTGTTTATTGGTTTTTGTAGTAATGCAAATACATAAGTTATTATAATACTTTGTAGATCATGCTGCCCAAAGAAAGAAATTAAAATTAAATAATAAACACATTATAAGAATAATGTAATAAATGAAAAACAGATGAATAAAAAGATATCTTAAACAAAATAATTTTTCAAACCATACTGTAAGTGATCTAATGAACACCCCCTTTCTGATGAACGCCTCCAATCTAATGAAAGTCCCCCCCCCCCTATGCTCACAAGTTTGTATTAAAAGCCCCCTGTCTATTAAATGCCCCCTCTACGTGTGACCATCCATCACTAGAAACAAACGACAATTTAATTGTCGTCTTGCTTCATTAACACTAATAAGTGAGTAACGTCTTGTTCAGTTTCTAGTTCAAAATGAGGATAGCGTTCTTTAATTTTTCTGATTTCATTTCATTTCATTTTTTAGTATATCAGCAATTATTTTCTTGCGAACTACAAGGTCTACTTCCCTTTTTCTTTTTCTTTTAGGTAGATGTTAGAAATCATAACATGTGGTGCATTACATTGTAACAGTTAAATTTTAGAATAAACTCCTCTCTCTAATAAATGCCTCCTGTCTATTGGTCCCTTGGACCATTGAAATTTAATAAATGCCCTGGCATTTATCAGATCATTTACGGTAATTGATAAACTAGCGCATGGAAGATAAATTAGATGTAAGATTGTTTTTCTATTTGAGTGGTCCTTGTGTCAGCTAGCTCRTTCATTCAAGTGAAATCTTCAAAGATGGTGATTTGCTTAGATTCTAGATACACTCAAGTCTGGATCAAGTGCTCTCAAAGCTATTCAGGAAGGGCTGTCTGCAAAGGATGTTGATAAAGTGATGTTAGACTTGGAAGAGGTTGGTTTAAGTTCCTTTTGTTGTGTTTTGTTCAATTCTAAGTTTGTATTTTATCATTGTTCTTTTGTTTGAGAAGGTGTGGATTGGATTGATTTCTGTGTTTTTTTTTTCCTTTTTTTCCCTTTTTCTTTTGATTTTGTTGTTTTAAAGTGTGTGTGTGTGTGGGGGGGGGGGGGGGGGGGGGGGCATGAAATTTCTTCTCCATTTTGGTATGTTTAGCATTTCAGTTTTAATTTGTCCATTTTCTTTTTTTCAAATATTTTTTTGGTGTTTAGTTCTGTGTTTTGTTTTGAATCTCCCAGATTCAAAACAATAAATTCTGTATGTTTAAATGTTGGTTTGTTATGATGCCAGTGTAGTTTTGAACAGATTTGGTTCTTAATGGTGATTTTATTGACAGACATTAGATGAGGCTGAGGACATACAAGAGGCATTAGCTCAAGGTAAGATAATGAAAATCTTGTTTTATCAGTGTCACTATCAACATCGTTGTCGACGTTTTTAATTGGTTTTGGTGATTATCGTTACACATTGATTAATTAAATCAATCAATGAATCAATTAACCAGTCAGATAATCAATCAATCAATCAATAGATAAAAAATCTAAAAGGAGAAAATCCTTCTATTTATATTACAATCGGTAATTATAAAACTAATAGTTTCAATTTATTTAAATATTGAGTGCGTGTGTAAATTACGTTTTTCGAAAATCATACTTTATGTTTACAGCAATTTCAAAAACYTTGACAACATAATACTCCGGCTGATAGTAGTGTATTTCATTACCGAAAGGGATTATTGTTACGCAGGTTTGACAACAAATTTTCACTTTTTGGATTGGCACCTTGCATAGAAATTGAGTCTAAGCTAATCCAATGTATACCACAGACTTTCCTACAGTATAAATCACTTGTTGTTTCCATTCAATTAGCAAAACRCATGGCTACTTTCGGTCGTGCAGTCGCCGTTCGACAATTGACATTCGCCATTTTATCCGACAACCTTATTTTCTTTTTCTCCAACATTATTAACTGAAACACCTTGAAACGTTATCAATAAATGTGCCGTGGCAACACAACGCGGAAGGTTTTATAGACACATGCTAAGTGTTTTAAAGTTTATAAAGAATTCAAGCCGTTTCTCTGTAAAAGACCAGCCTGCAGAGACTGTGTCCACGTTGCTGCAGTCTGTGCGGTCTATCAATCGGTGGTAAATTTTGATCAGTTAGCGTCGTGGAAATGCGGAATTCAACGATTTTCGAAACGATCCTAGGGCATACATGAATAGGATTTTAAGAAATGAGTTATTTTTCTCTAAACATTAGCATTTGAAGCTGTTTTGACCAGTTGAGCTAGCTATTATTGGACTTTTGTCATGTCCGTCAATAGGGATCAATCTTTTATTCTTTCCATTGTATCAGAAAAAGAAACGAACTCCATGCAGGCTGTTATAAAGATAGCAATTGGGTTAGCATGAGCTCAAGTAATATTGAAATCTGTAGTCACTTTTACTTTTACTGGCGAATGACCGACTTCCAATACGATGGTAATGTCATTCATTATCGTTTTTATTTTTTTGTACTTTTTTTAATGAGAAAACCCGAAGCAGTTGAACACCAATAATTGCTTTTTGCACCATTATTTAAGCCTTAAATAAAATATAGAGGTATTTCATAGATAATTATAGGATAACAAGTAATATTGAAGTCAATATTATTGAACGTCTAATGAACATTGATGCGTATGTCCATACAACTAATATCCTCTTGATAATATTTGATGGTTCCCTGTTGATTTGTAATGGTTGTAGCACTCAGGGACGCAGTTCTTTCCTTGAATAAGAGGCATACAAAAAAATCCTATACCCTTCCGCCTGTCTTGTGAGAYRAATTCACCGCCTACATGTTTGAACAATATTGTACKATCTGTGGCTGTCGTATACAATGTATGAGTCACAAAAGTGATCACGGAAGTTTGATTCACCTCTAGTGAGAGTTTAGACCATAAGCGATTGTGTTGTTTTTTTTTTTCGTTGAAAGCGTGATATCGGAAATTGTTCGTTAAAAGTATTAGACTCGTTGTGTTTGTGTCGAAGTGAATAGGGTGATGTTGGATGCCTATTATGTGTATCCATTCTTCCATCCATTAATCCATTTCTCATCCATTTCTTATCCATTCATTCCCTTTTCGTTCGTTCATTCATTTATTCGACTTCAAGCTCGAATTAATCGAACCATTCAGTCATTTATTAATTTGGTAATTTGTAATGTAACTCACAAACTTCAATTCATAATTGCTATCAAGCTCTCATCCTTTCAATAAGATCCGAGTACCCGATTCTTAATTTGATCATTCATTCATCGGATCCCATTCATCTACCATTTACACCCATCTATCGCCATTTCAGCAGATGAGATTTGGCGATTATTGTCCGCGATGAATCATATCGTTAAGTTGTGAAATCCTTTATTGATTGAGACACGTATCCCATATTCTTTTTCAATTAGTTTCTTGACAGATATTAACGACTCAAGCCTCTGTAATTGGAATCGGATTTCTGAGGTCCTTGTATCGTTTCCAAGATCACTCAATGAAATCTTAATATTGAACAATTAAACTGAAAAGTCGTGCAAAGCTGCCTGATTTTCTCAATTTTTTCTCAGTTTTCTTTTTATTTATTTTTAACAGTTCTATATTTATTTTTGTTTGTTCTTTATTGCATGATTTTGCCCTCGACTTTCAATTTGTAAACACATCTTTTTTTTTTCACCAAGTTTGAAAATAGATTGAGTGCCTCCCAAAACGTTCTAGAATTTATCAGTTAAAAAAGAAAAAAAGGAATGAAAGTAGAATAATCTCATAAGTTAAATACGTGAAGGATAAATCAACATTTGCCTATGAATCGTTCACGTTCGATTACGAGCGTTCATGCAGAGTAAGAAAAATAAATGCACTCAAAATTGTAAACATATTCGGTAATGACTTCCTCGCGAAGCAATATTTATTTATTTATTTTTGATCAACTCGAAAAAATTACCGAAATAACGCCTTGACACTTAACAGACATGAATTTTTGCAGGAAATGGCAAAATATACACAGAAAACATTATTTTTTTTGCATGAGGAAATGATTATTTGATACAAGATTGATCWGTTGAACAAGGTGTCCTGTTATTTTGAAGTTTTCTTAATTTGTTTCGAGAAAATTGCAATGAAAGCCAGCTTTGCACCTACTGGTACATGTGCTCATCTTTTTTTATTGTTTTATATTGTCTTCTTGATTATTGGCTGCTCTTTTGATGTGAAAAGAAGAGTAATTTTTTTCAAGTTCTGACATTCTATTTCTATACCAAGAAAATTCATGATGTAACGCTTCAAATTATCAAACCAATTTCGCCTCCATTATTTTTTCATATCACATTTCTTGTTTTTAACTTTCTTTGCAGTTATTTGATCCGTTTATTTTATTAAAATCAATTTCACGCGTTTAATTTAAATTATTTTTGCTGGATATAATTTCATAAAAACCTCCTCAAAGGCGAACATTAAGCTCTTAGGAGTTTCAATACGATTACCTATTACCCAAAACCACTTCTTTCTGTCAACAATATTAAATATATGACAAGTTACGGTATTTTAACTCGTTTTTTTTTTTTTCTTTCGGAAAAAAAAATCATTGGTAATATTGAAATGGCGATGAAAGGGGTTTTTAAAATCTTTTCAATATCTTTTCAATGTAGTTATGACGAAAGTCAAAACCTTTGGAGTATTGATCCTCCATCATGTACTTAATTTATCATGGCAGGCCCTTGTGACAAGAGTCAACTCTATACTCCTTCCTGTCTATTGATGTTTGTAATCTTTTTGTATTTTAGTCATACAAATGCCTCTTTTTCTCACCTTTAATTAATTTTTCCGATGTGTATGAAACCACATCGGCTGTCACACATACTACAGCTGTTAAAATGTAGCTCAAAGCAACAACTATATAATCTTTTAAGCAAGCTATATAGAGACTGCTAATGATATTCTTCTTTTTCGTTTCTTGTAGTTCTTCTTGTTTTGTCTCGGTCTTGTTGGTGGCCTTAGTTCTTTCTCTTTTTCTTGTTCTCTGCTTTTTCTTCGCCTTCATTTTCTCAGATTTTATTATCATCCCCTTGTTTTTTATTAAGAAGAATACAAATTATTACCTGCAAATGTTCCCCTCGAACAACAGAAAAGCACATATCGATATTTTGATATTCGTCCTTAAATCTTACGCACTTCTCTTTGATTTGTTATCAGGTTAATGATAGCAGCATATTTGAAATTGTCGCAATTTTGAACGAAGAGGCCATTATTGGTTGTACGGTCACCAAGAGCGGAATAACGTTTTCAAACATTACCTCATTTTTCATCGAAATTGCCTTTACCTAAGCATGTCGCATAATTTTAGAGGTAAACATCGACTTGCAGTTTCATTGCGGCTTGCGATATACTCCTTCACAACTGTTTAATTTCGTGGAATTGGACTGTTTTAAACAATCAAATTTACCTTTATGCTACTTGTAAAATTGCATCGCCCTACAATATTTAGATTTATATTTAGTTAAGTAAATAACGGCGTTTTTTTTTCTCTATAACGACCCGTTTCCACTAGTAACCAATGAAGCAGAGTTCTCAACTTGGTAACATGCATGACGATTAGTTTTAGCGTTTAATGACTGCCGAGATAATTTTCAAAACAAGAGATAATTTTCATATCTAAATTGGTTTCGTGTTTTCTATTTTGCTTCCATATTCATTATGCTATTACCTTGTAATTTCAAATTAAAATATTAACAAGATTCAGTCATTTTTATCCGTTTGTCAGGACTAGCTTATGATTGGTAGTAAACTTGACATTGCCGCGCTTTCATCTTGCCTACTTTTCATCTAAATGGTCATCGAACATTTTTTTATGTTTAACTTTTTTATTACTTGTCTTCAAATACTCTTAAAGTTAATTACGGTTGTTGCTTTAGCGATAACAAGTGCTTGACTTACGTTGGGGCATCTTAACAAGCGTCATTCAAATTAATTCAAGGAGCTCCTTGACAACACTTGATGTGAGATACCCCATATTGGGCTGGGCTGCATTTAAGCTCTTGGTACTATTACAGTAAATCACTTTCAAGGTGAACTCCAGACGCGCAGCATCTGTCGGTCACAAGATGAACTCGTCTAAGATTGAGCTATGCCCAAAGATGACTATGTCCCACAATCGAGACCCTTCTTACTTTGACTTCAACACTGGCATCATCGTGTGTGCTATGAATGGCGTTCTTTCTGTTCCAACTACAATCCTCAACCTACTACTTATTTTATCCATCTTAACCTCACCAAACCTTCGACGTCCATCTTACATCTTGATCTGCGCTCTAGCGTTCACTGACTTAGGTGTTGGTATTCTTGTGCAACCGTTGTACATCGCTAGAAAGATAACATTCATGATGTCTGATTACGAAACGTACTGTATTCTCATGAAGACAGGAAACGTCGTTGCACATGTCATCTGTAGTCCGTCTTTCTTTATTGTTACCGCAATTAGTGTCGATCGATACCTCGCCATCTACCTCCGTGCATCGTACCAGCAACATGTTACCAACCGGGCCGTTTTACAATATTTGGCTTTCACTATCGTTTGTGCTTGTTGTATCACTGTGTCAAGGTTCCACGCAACCAGCCCGAAGTACATGGGATTTGGTGCTTTCTTCCTGTGCGTTTTCCTTTTTATAATCCTTTTCTGTTATTTCAAGTCTTTGAGCGAGTTAAGTCAACTCCAAGCCAAGTCCAGCGCTCGCTCAAGCCAGCCAGTTGCGAGTCATAGAAGAGTATTGGCCACTTTGATGATGATTGTAACGGCGCTTTTTATGTGCTATGTTCCATTTGTAGTCGTAGTGATTGCTATCGCCATCATTGGTCGATCCAAACCCTTCATGATTGCATGGGAAATTACAGCTTCGATGATGTATTTCAATTCCTTCCTTAATCCCATTTTGCATTTCTCGCGTCTTAAGGAGCTCAGGGAATCGTGTTGGGCAGTCATTAAGAAAAGTTAGTATTAATTATTTATAGAGTTGACAATAGCTAAACCTATACTTAGATTATAGTTTTTTGAAAGTTAAAGATTTTTTTTTTAACGTTTATAGTGTGAAATCATTATAACCATGAAACAACATCGAAAAGCGTGGGTGTGATAGTCAAATAGACACAAAACGATGATTTTACCGTTTATTCGGGTGTATTCTTATATCTATTTCACGGCCTTATGGGACCACTTTTTTTTTGAACGGAAAGGCTGCTAAAAGTACTTTAAGTTTTACTCAAACCTTTTTCAATTCGTTTCTGGACGTTATTCTGTATTTTTGCAAGGATCAAATCACTGAGAGACCAGCCCTTTGTCGGGCAAGTAAAGAGAAAACAGAATTATTCATGTAGTCTTTTATAGCTGGAGGCATTTCTTCCTTACGAAAGTTCAGTTGTCATTTGCTGTCTGTGGCCTGGTAATTTTGGCAAAGCTGTTTTATTATTATTGTTTATTATTATTTAATCTTTCGCCGCCAAAGGCATTATCAAAGATAAAGAAATTAGTCACACAATAACGCATTCAACACAGTTAGCGGAAGACAGTTTTCCATTATATGAGTTTATATTTTTATTATTTTTTTTTAGCCACCAATGCTTCATTTTTTAAGAGGGATTTTAAGGTGCCTTCTAGAAGATCAATGTAGGAATTGTTTTTATATATATATGCGAACTTATCGCTCTACGATCAAAGACACTTCCCTCCCCCGCCCTGTCATCTCGTTGATAATCAATTTAATGATTTTTTTCATGGTGTTTAAAGATAAACAAGTCGCGGGGGTATAAGATGTTACAAAAGAGATTTTTGGACACCAACTGCTACTAACTAGACTTCAAAACGCCTATCTTTGTTGTTGAGTCATGGGTTTATAGAGGACAATAGTGTAGATAAAATCAATAATTTAAGGTTTTTTCGAGGCAATCGGATGTAAAATGTAAACACTTCGTGGGTGGTTTAAGTTGTCTCAAAAGCGATTTTTTTTAACACCAGTACCTGCGATAAAATTGGATCACATCCATCTGAGTTTTTTTTTCTCGTTAAATTATTAGCTTCTGGCGTAATGATGGAGATGAATGGAGTTTTTCGTGGCAATTGCATGTCTTAATTTTAACGGTTTGAAGATGTTTCAAAAGAGACTTTTATACGACAACAGTTTTGAGAAAAACGTTTATTAACTAGTTTTGTCATTGTCAAAACGAGCATATAGGACAATTTTGGAAATGGCTAAGCATTGGTAGTTTTCTGCATTTCGTTAGTTTCGTCCTTTTCGCATTATTTTGCACATAAACGTCGTCCGCCATTTTTATGATTTTATCAATACCATGATGCATTTCGGTAAAGCAATAATGACGTCATTAGCGCAGATGATATTCAGACTATTAGGTTATCTTGCAAGGAAATCATCATTATCATTATAATTATTTTTGTCGTTTTCATTATCGTTATCATTGAAAACTGTTTTTTTTTACTAAGGCAACCGATCGATCGACGAGAGAAATCAAGCCAACTTGGGCTACGATAACCAGGCCTTGGAAAAGCAGCTCGCTGAATTGTCATTGGACACAGGTATTAATTAGTTCRCAGGCTACTCTCATCGCTGTTGTCATGTGACCTATTTGTGCCGTTTTAATTGGGTGGTCTGAGAACTAGACAAAATTAGGGCAAGTGGTTTGTTTGAGCTGTTTTTTGCTTCGCTGTCATCAATATTGCTTACCCGTACGTGTTTACGAATCCATTATCGCTATCAGAAAACACAAGGCACTTTTGGGGTGTCATTGAGTGTCGTGAATTCAGACGTTCATCGTTGGGGGCGGAGTGAACTGAATACAGGGTAATAGTACGCGGACTTCAAACGCTGTTTAATTGAACGGCTTTTTAATGGTTATACTATAAGCAACCCGAAGTATGTGAGATGCCTGTGATGTTGGCGAATACAAAAAGCTCATATACATTATTATCAAAGATTTGTTAATAAATTAATTTTATTGTTGTTTTCAAGGTCAAGAGGTTTTGGATCACCGTGATCTCAAGGTAAGCAGTAAAGACATAATGTTTCGTTATTGTTGTTTTTCTGGAGCTATAATGAGTTCATAGTAGGGTTATTCTGACACTCACTCACTCACTTTCCTGTAAACATTCCTTTGTGGACATTAGAATTGATAACATTTTCTTTCTTTGTGTGGTTTTCGTTCGTTTTAGGTGCAGTTTTCGAACAGCGAAAGCTTTGAAAAAGCTCAAGAATTGAATTTCCCTGAACCGCCGTCGTCATCTCCATCGAAGCCACAACCATCTGATACAAAGGTCAAGGAACCTGTGTGCTCCTAGACTCGCTAAGTTTGTATATAATATATATATATATTAGATAGACGATTGCTAATGGAAAATGAAACACTTACAAGAATACAAACACTAAAACAATTAAAAACATGTTAAGCAAGGCTAAATTGTACTCAGTAGTAGTCTTAACGGTTCCCTGCGCCATCTTGAAAGGTTGTCTCGCTTCGATATAGAGGCACGGCTACCATTCAAGATGGCGCAGGGAACCGTGAAGGAGACTATTATGCGAAGTGTTTCCAATCGTCTTATCGACACTATTTAGTGCTTTTGAGCACTGTTTGTTTTGCTTTTTTTCTCGCTGATAGCGTTTGCACACTAGCATACTCAAATGAAACCACCAAATCCAGGTTTGTCAAACAATTAGATTCAACTTGATACAAACATGGTATATTAGTAAGTAGTATATCTCGTACAAAATCGCCCTGATCTGCGTAAAAATGGCTCGTAATTTAAATACCTATAGATTCTTGAACAATTCACTTGGAAGGGCACAATGTAGTTAGTTTTCAGTAATTCCAGATGTTAAAAGTTGATATTTGATATCTCAGCCCTATAACCTAGTATAAACGGTTTATTCCGACCATTGAGATCGTCCATTATATCGATTGTAAATATTTAATAGCTAACCAATGAGAACACGCGTTGTATTGTAGTTCTGCTGTATTGTAAATATTTGTAAATCGACAAGATTAGGATGTGACTTGTAATTTAGATATATAATAGTTGCGTTTGTTGTTCTACTGTTGAAATAAAGCACTTGGGGGCGAATATTGCATCATGTTCATCTTGGAAGGCGAAGAAAATAACTATTTTTTAAAATTTGACTATTTTTGTGTTCAGGCGCCAGCACCCTCAAGTGCTATATTTTATCAAATAAAACATGGAAATCAATCTTTTAACTTAATTCTCGCTGAAAAAGACGACGTTTATCTTGTACGCTGGTTCAAGAGCAGTAGAGGTTTTTTTATAATTTTCTGTTTTCTCTTTCTGGATTTTTGTCCTTATGACTTATCGCGTTTTTCCTATTTTTTTCGTGTATCTTCAGTGGTTTTGTTTAATGTTTTACGTTTTGAATGCAAACCAAAGAGAGAAGCTACGAAAATTACTAAAGAAAACCTAAAATACTAAGGATAATAAACAGACAATTTAGGTAAATGTTTGATTAATTGATTCAGGTTTTCAAACATCCACAGAAAAGTGTAGAAATCACCGAGGGAAAAAAAGGCAAAAAAACTTCTAGGATCAGGACAAAAATCTTATTAAGGGGTTGATTTGTCGCTTCAGTATATTTAATTATCAGAATCTCGAAATAATATATGACTTGTTTGTCCTATATTTTTCGTTTCAGTTACGTAAACACGTGCAATCCAAGATATGATAAATCTTAGCGTGTGTCGGTCTTGACGCTTCGCTATGGGGAAAATTATTCGCACGTTATTGCTATATTTAATTATCAGATAGTGGAAATAATTTCTTTTATCTTCTTTCTTTGAATTCACCTTGTTATGTAAATAAATTGTGTGTAATATACGATACGGCTTTGTTTTTAGTATAGACACTTAGAAATTGTCAATAAAATATCGTGCTCTGTCACGAAGTTTAAGTGCTGCTTCAAATACGGACGGAAGTCGTGAATTATGTCTAAAAATACGAGTACAAATGCTATGGAAACTCTTCATAATATTTTTCAATGTCGTAACTTCGCAACCACGTAGGGACGGAAGGGAATTCAACTCAATTCAACTTCAATTGAACAGTGATAATGAGAAGAAGATTATCTTTCAGGTGAGGTTTCCATCCGTTTTGGTGTGTTTGTATATATTTTTTGTATGTGTGTTTTTGTTTGTGTCTCAATTAAAGTATAATTACTACTGTTTTACTCTTGACCCTCTTGCATATTCCACACAGATATTGTCGATTGTAAATAAAGTCGCCTTTTAATGGTACTGGAGAGAGGTCAAAGACTGACGTTTAAAGTAAGTAACCTATATCGTACTTAAAGATATGCTGTATATACAGCCAACGAACTTCTTTCTATTATATTGAGTGTGGCAACTACGTAAAAATAAAACTGTAAGTATTGGTAACTTGACTTCAGTCGCATGAGCACTGCCGAGCTTAACTTACCCGATAAACAAATATGTTGGATCACTAATCAAGAAATGTTGGACGATCCTACATTTTACCAGGTATTGTGACATTTTAAATGGAGTATCCGAAAAATGTTGGATGATGTCTGTCCAATATACTATATACTTGTTATACAGCAAAATATTGGACGCTGAAAGAAACCACGGCGGAAAACGCGGGCCTTGATGAGCGGGCCTTCTCTTTAAAAAGAAACTGCTAAATACGAATGTCTATGAACTTCCAAAACTGCCAAAATAGAAGTGATTGCAAACACATTCGCGCTAAAATTAGAGAACTTATAACGACTATCAAAATTGTTATTGTAAGCGATAACAACCCTAACTGAAAACTGATCCGTTAACAAATTGCATTTCCTAGTCTATCTTCTCCGTAGAAAAATTAAATGGAAAAGTGATTAAATGTATTACAGTGTAAAAATGAATTTCCAGACGATATTAATATTATTTTAATACTATTTTTTAATTAAAGATAAGTAAAGAGAATCTAACGTCAGAAATGTCAGCTTTTCATTTCAAGTTTTTTTATTGATTTTATTCGTACACATACAGCCGTTCGTTTTCATTAAAACTGAACAAAATATTAGAAAATATTTAGTGGAAACAACGGAAGCTAGCTGAAGAAACATCGAGTTCTTTGAATTTCTGTTTTCTACTTTATTGCATTATCTTTGGCTGAACTACCCGGGATAATATTATCATAGAAACAAGCTGAAAAAAAAAACTAATCAGAACTTATAGGGCTTGAAATCTTCATGATKGAATGTCGTGAAACTGAAACTCTTCAGACGGTAAGACTTTTTATGGCCGCCAGAAGTACTTGTTAAAAAATTCCTATTTGCACATGCAAAAACCGCTCAGTTTATGCGCAAAGGATCTAGACATTTGTATTGACATTGGAAAGTTTAAGGCGCACATTCTAAGCTTGTTATTGATATGTTGTACAATGTTTTCAAAATACCTGTGTTTTTAGTTTATAGATTCTGGCAGTGTAAACAACAAGACAAAAAGAGTACTCCATTCAAATACAATGCACACAAGGTAATCTACTTAAAATAGATGMGAACCTGTCTGGAAAGACGGAAATTAACTTTTTGGCTATTCTTTCAAAYAGAAAGAAATTTGAGATGAGAGRGTGAATTGAGAATCCAGTTTGTAACATGCAATAAACGACTTCACTGAATGTTGTTAAACCATCAAGGAATGGAGAACTTTGACAAGAGTGGTGCGCTGAACAGTACATGTTGATWGTACACTTTGATTTGACATCTKCTGCCAGTAACTCAGGATACATTATCTGAAATTGGGCAMTWAACTTCTCTACTCCAAGCTAAAATGAATACGACCAATGGAATCAACACCCTTTGTCCAAAGATCACAATGTCGCATACTACAAACCCCGCACATTTTGACTTCAACACTGGCATCATCGTGTGTGTTATGAATGGCGTTCTTTCTGTTCCAACTACAATCCTCAACCTYCTACTTATTCTATCCATCTTAYCCTCACCAAATCTTCGACGWCCATCTTACATCTTGATCTGCGCTCTAGCGTTCGCTGACTTAGGTGTTGGTATTCTTGTGCAACCGTTGTACATCGCTAGAAAGATAACATTCATGATGTCTGATTACGAAACGTACTGTATTTTACTACAGGTTGGTAATGTTTTTGCCCATGTGTGTTGCAGTCCTTCGTTTTTTATAGTAACGGCGATAAGCGTTGATAGGTACCTTGCTATTCACTTGAAAACGGCRTATAGCAGTGTAGTTACTATTAAGACRGTCCTACTGTACATGGRTGTSGCTTTATTGTGTACTGGTTGTATRACTSTAGTTCGATTCCAATCCACCAGTCCCAAATACATGAGTATAGCGGCTGCTCTAATGTGTCTTATTCTTGCTGTTATTCTGTGTTGTTATTTCAAGTCATTAAAAGCGTTGAGGACTGTTCAAGTACGTTTTACAAGCGAAGAATTGAAAGAGAACAATCYKYGATCAGGAGTTACCTATCATCATCARGTGCTCACAACTTTAATGTGGATTGRCGTGACKTTGTTTTGCTGTTATGTKCCGTTTGTGGCCGTTGTCATAACGATGGCCGTTCARGGTCGTTCGCGAGAYTTCATGATCGCGTGGGAAATGGGTCTGACACTCTTGTATCTTAATTCATTGTTGAACCCAGTGGTCCACTTTGCTCGGCTTCACGAGCTGAGGGAGGCCTGTGCGGCAGTCATGAAAAGAAACTGAACTCTTTCGTGTCTTGATATGATCTCTGCAATTCGACAACTGACAAACCAAGATATGGCATTGGCCGTAAATGAACAATTGTTACCTAAGGCCGAATATGATATGAGGAATTATTGGATAAGYCTGAGTAAGATATGAACAGTTATTGGCTGAGGGCGATCATGATATGAAGAATTATTGGCTGACGTTGAGTGTGATATGAAAAATTATGAAGCCCCAGGTAACTGTTACTGTTGAAAGTGAGACCAACAACATCATCTTGGACTTGCATAATTCTTTATATCAGCTATTATGTAACGGCTTTATCATTTGCAAAATATAGTTATGATTGAAAGGAGATTACAGATCACGAAGTGCTACTCTGTGACGTCATATTGCAATATGAAAGAGTATCGTACTATGCGTGACGTTAGGGTATTTATGAATAAACGAGGGATCCGTGGTAAATATGCTTTAGAGAAATAAATAAAAATAAACTATCTAAAATAAGCAACTGGTTTTCAATTTCCAATGGATAATTTATTAGATCTTAAAGCAAAAAAATCCAATTATTTRTCTTTACATCATTATATGCATCGTGCTACTGTGCATGTCTCAACTATAAACTAAACACTTGCGTGGCGTTRACGACTAAAAGAATCTACAATTGAAAGCAAAATGATGAATTCGCGCATCTTAACACAGGCAGCCCACCACTTAGCTATGRAAAKTTATTATGTATATTTATTGCATTTTAATAATTCAGAATTTTATTAAAACAGAAAAAAGAGGACGAGGAAAGCATAAGTGTGCYCTTTACTAACTAGCTTTGATGAGTGCGTGAGCTTGTGGACTACCTGTGCCGCGAGGCACGGGATCGTGACGTAGCCCACGGCTGATCCACGCAAGGTCATAGCGCGCGCCTGTCAATCAAGAAAATAAATCGCGCGCTTGCATTTTATTTCGTTTTGTTTTTGAGTTTTTTTTTTCCTAATTTAGCATGTAAAGGGTGGCCTGTAATCTAAACATTCGATATATGATGAGATATTTTACAACAATACTATAACTTTTCAAACACAAGCATTCTTACAATTAATCAATATACCTTACGTAAATTGTAAATTGGTAAATTATATCTTACGTAAATCGTAAATTACATCTTACGTAAATCGTAATTATATCTTACGTAAATCGTAGATTAAACCTTACGTAAATCGTAAATTATACCTTACGTAAATCGTAAATTAAATTATACTTTACGTAAATTGTGATCGTAAATCGTAGATTAAACCTTACGTAAATCGTAAGTTATACCTTAGGTAAATCGTAAATTATACCTTACGTAAATCCTCAATATATATCCGATGTAAATGACAAATCAAGTGGATGCATAAAATCAACGAGAAATTGTGAAAAAACAATACATAAAAACCATTTAAAATATATGTTATAAAAAAGGAATACCTTTTAGAATTTTTTGCGTATTACTCGCATTTCAGTCCTTTTTTTATGTTCCTCCTTGTTTGTGAAATCATCAACCCCMTCCCGTCGCTGACGAATTTCTTGAGATGAAAGTGGGAAGGACGAAGATTGCGATAAAMGTTCTTTTCTGGGTATATTTAGATTGGCAGCTACCGCGTTTTCTCCTTGTCTTTGTGTAGTATATATAGTTGACTTAGTTGATTTTTGCACGGTGATGTTGTCAGACATACTACGAGAAACAAGCCCAGRGCGCCTTGTCATTGGACTCTGTGGCGCTCTTGATGGCTTTGCGTTCTGAAGTTGCTCTTTCGCTTTCCCCTTGCATTTTGCTTCCTTTCCATTCTTTTCCGCTTCTTTACCAAAACCTTTTAGTTCTGCATTGCTTTTGGCTTTCATTTCCTGATTTGGCTGTGCTTTCTTTGCCAGTGGTTTGTTTAGTAAGTCTTTCGTTTTCTCGTCCCCGTTCWTGGTCTTTTTGATAATTTGGCGCCTTTTTGCAGACARTYTCTCGTCTTTTTCATGTTGACCATCTGTTACCTCAATTTGACAATCTTCGTAAAATGTTCCTTTCCTTGTCTCAGGACTTCCTTGAGGGAAATTAATGTCATCGAACTCGATTTGAACTTCGGATTGCTTAACTGCTGCCATTTCTGTCTTTTCAGAGAAAAAGTACAGACAGAACTGAAAAAGATCARCCGGTTTTTTTCGTTTAGATCTATTCAAACCGGTGTGCTGCATTCTGATTGGTGCAATATGGCCCAATTTGACGTATCTAAGTTCTTTCGGCTCCTTTTATAGTGACACTCCTTTATTTCGGCTCCTTCTGTGTTTTGGCGAAAACAACGTATTTGTTTGCTTGGTAGACATGCAAAAAATAGGTGTGTTTATTTTTCTTACAACCGTTGTAATTAATGTTGCCAAAAACCTATAAGGGACTTGAAACGTGTAAGGACGGGCCTTAAATCTCTCATCCAACGGCCGAATTTTCCAAAAATATGGTCATAARGTTCGTTTTCGAATTTTTAATGAGCTTTGAATATTCCGACGCTTGGTACTAAACTGAAATGTACGGTTACACGTTTCAAGTCCGTTATAGGTTTGTGATGTTGCTTATTGTTGTTTTTATTCTTGTTGTTTTGCTATGACTGTTTTAATTGCCGTTGTTTTTTTAATTATTTTTAATTAATTTGTTAATTATTATTGTTGCTGTTGTTGTTGTTGTTATTCATATTGTTGTTACATGTTATATTTAGTAAATGTATAATAAACCAACGCAATACAGCCTTTTGCAAAAATTATGAGAATTGTTGAAATATCTAAATATCATAATATCGAGTGCATGATGGGTAATCCCGCGCGATGCCCTTAGTCCCTTGTCTTTGTAGTTTAGTTTTTTTTTTTGGCGACAGACTTATCCGTAGTTCTGAACATTTTCTCGATGTCAACAATGAATTATTCTAGCAAACCCGCGTGTTCCGGACAATATATGGATATGAATATTATGATATTTAGATATTTAGACAATTCTCATAATTTTTGCAAAAGGCTGTATCCGGTGGGGAGTGGTTATATAGCGGCAAATTCAACTGTGCTCTTAATATCGTTGTTGTTTTTGTTCTTGTTCTTAATATCATGATAATGTTATCAAAAATCAAATACTAATTTTTTTTGGTATTCTTTTTTTCTTTATTTTCATAACATGCCATATTAATTTGCTTTAAATCATCTGAATTGCTTTACACACGACAGTATTGATATATCAAAACAACATCAAAGTGGACGTGATTGTGTCGCGGCAAATTCCTCACTTTTGATAACAACATTACTGTTGTTCTCGTCTTTCTTGATGTTGCAGCATCACGAGCTGCTTGTTTTATTCATGTCATCGACAAAACTGAACGTCAAATATACAGGATTTTGTGCAATGCCTTATTTCAGTAAATTACCAATTGAAATTACTTTAAATCTTATACATTAAATATTATGGTATAGATACTCGTTTCAAAAACAGTATCAAATTCTATGTTTTGGTGAAAACGTACTAATATTCGAACAATAAAGATACTCCAAGGTCGTGTGGAACTAACTTTCCAGGATTGGTTCCGGAGATGGCGTGARACTCATAGATGGCGTGACACTTCCGGAGTGTGTAACACAACGAAGTACGTTTACGTTCTTCGTAAGTTCTCCTTCTGTCCCTAACACGTGACCTGAGTGTGCCCTGTCAACGCGTAAGAAGGTCGAGGGTTCACAAAAATCATGCATGTGATTCTGAGAAGAATTGTTTTGAAGTTTGGCCATGTGCGCGAAGTCTGCCGAGTTGTTTTGGTTGGACTGTGTACTTTGCTTGCTCGAGGAGAGAATTATGTAGATTTTAGGGAAAAATAAACCAATGAGGATGATTGTACCAATGAGCCAATAGGATYCAGTTATGATAAAAGCCTTGGCAAACGGACTGTCCATYTTTATAATTGTAGGAAAGAAGATAATCCAAACTGAACAGATCAAATACATCATGATTCCGATGTACTTTGCTTCGTTGAAATTGCGTGGAAATTGCCTGGTCTTGAACGCGAAAAGAGTGCAAATAGCCATCAAGACGACATTGTAGGATAGGTTACTTACGAGGGCAACGTTCTCAGTGTCACACTCGATTTCCGTTACCTCAAGGCTATGATAATGGTATTTGATGGCCGGAGGGGAAGAAATCACCCAGCATGTAGTGATAACAGCTTGAATACTTATCAATCCTGCACTCACTAGTACTTGAGATGAAGGGCTCACCATAGAAGGTCTGGTGACAGATTTCTTCCCGCGCGTGAAAATCCTGTAAATGCGGTTGGTCTTCATGAGAAGTGGCGCGTAACAGAACGTAAAGCAAATTGAGCCTAAGTATCGGCAAATRGTGCAAWTAAGCGGCGATGGCTTTAACAAAAACGGGAAGACTGAGATATAYCAGAGAAAGATTCCAYCTAYTATTATTGCACTGAGCTCCTTCGCWGAGGCTTTAGTAACAGGGTGATTCCTGTACATCACAAAGAAGAAAGCAGTTGACAAAGTGCATATAATTGCCAAGACTGTAAGTACTGTGCACGCTATGCCTACACCATCTTCAAAACTAGGATAGCTTAAAGGTATCATCGAGCATTCACTAAGATTGACACTTGGACGTTGTCCTTGCTTACATGATTGGCAGGTGTCATTCACCATGATTTGATTGGGTTGGCATTTCACGCATTTCCAGCAACACTTTGAGTGGAAAGMGAGTGGCTGGCTGATGAAAGGAAAGATACAGCGGCGACTGCAGATCGATACTGGTGGCCTTGAGAMTGAATTACCCCATGACAACGAGTCAATATTGATTCTGAAACTTTTTTCGACTGTGCCATCGTCTTTGACCACTACACCCCAATCTCCAACCTTCACGTAATCCCATGTATTGGTGTCTTTCTGCTGGAAGTTCATTATGGTGTAATTACCATCCATCTCCTGATTGCTGTTGAARTTCATTAGCTGACCAGAAACTGCATCTGGAAACGTAGCGTTTTTCAAATACTCTGCAAGTTTAACRTTTCGCAGTCGTGCCTTCATTCTATCYCAGACTCCTGTCTGGKCATGGCACTCGGTCAGCTTCATGTCATGAAGAGCATGCGCTAATGCGTACACCGCATTAATCACAACTCGAGCAGGAGACATTTCCATATTTGGTAATGTGTGATTAAACGTGCAATTTTGGGCATCATTCTTTGGTGCTTTTCCATAGTTACATGTCAGAACTTCACTGAAGAACTCATTGGACCATGGACTTTGGATATGGGAGCTAACATTCATATAATATTCCTCAAATCCCTTTACTTGTCCTCCAAGATGGTTGACTGTAATCGAACCGTTTGCTATTTTCTCCTTACCAAAAATGACGTCCATACGGTTACTCCAGCCACTGCTTCCAACCCAAGTGAAACGATCTGCATTTAGATCCATGGCTGCRTGGAGAAGCCCAGTTGAGTCTGTTTGRGATGTGAACAGCACGATGATATTGACATCTTTATAAGCGTCTTTTTGGATCTCTTGAATAATGCTTGTGTAGTCAGATGATTTGGGCATAAAAGGAAGAGCCTGAGAAATGGCTACACATATCCCTCGCTTCTGTGTGGCTTTCTCTAAATCTGCTATCCCCTTTTCTCCATAGTTCCCTTTGGAACTTATAGCAGCAATGTACTTCCAGCCAAAATACTCAAGAATATCAGCTATTGCATCTACTTGAAACGTGTCAGGCGGTACGGTTCGAAAAAAGTTGCCGTAAAGCTCCTTATTGCTAAGGGCCGAGCTGCTTGAACCGTAACTAACCTGAGGTATTCCAAACACTCTTAGCAACGGAGCTGTTGCTATGGAGACGTCACTAATAAACGGCCCAACCACAGCCACCAAGGGGTCTTTATCTTCAAATAGCGTTTCCTTGATAAAATCTCGGGCGCGGTCGGCAGCTATTGTGGTACTTCGGCAGGTGTCGTAAATTTTCGTTCCCAAAGTTATGTTCGGAAGCAGATCCGAATTGTTATTGATTTGCTCGAGAGCAAACAGCATAGCGATCATGTATTGATAGCCTGGTTGTAGGTGAAATGCCCCGCATGCGTTTTCTGTCACATCGCTCTTTTTGTGGATTGGAAACAGCCCTCCAATGATTAGGTCCCCTTTCTTATGAAGCTCTTTAACAGCTTGCTCGTTTGCTAAAGAAATTGAACATCAATGACTTTAATTCACAAAAAAGGTTGTCGGATAAAATGG